GTCCAACATTCTTTTTTTTTTTTTTTTTGACACGGAGTTTTGCTTTGTCTTCCAGGCTGGAGTGCAATGGCGCGATCTCGGCTCACTGCAACCCCCGCCTCCCAGGTTCAAGCGATTCTGCCGCCTCAGCCTCCAGAGTAGCTAGGATTACAGGTGCATGCCACCACACCCGGCTAATTTTTGTATTTTTAGTAGAGAGGGGTTTCGCCATGTTAGTTAGCCAGGCCTATCTCCAACTCCTGACCTCAAGTGATCCGCCCGCCTTGGCCTCCCGAAGTGTTGGGATTACAGGCGTGAGCCACAGTGCCCAGCCCCAGGCAACATACTTTCTTAAGGCAGCTTGAACAGGTCATGCATTTCCACATTGCCACACCTTTGCATATGCTCTTCACTCTGCTCTAAATTCCCTTCCCTGTTTCCCTCCTGCACTTCACCTTGCTTTTAACTTTTTCTGCAAACTTAGCTCAGGGGTCTTGCTCAGGGAAGGCTTCCCTGACCTCCTCCTATCCCAGACTGGGTAAGGTACTCCTGGTCTAGGAGCATCCTTCTGTTTACCTTATTCTTGTAGCTCTAGCACCACGAAAATTTTTTTCCTGTAAGTAACATAGGTGCATTTAATGAAACCGTGAAAAAGAAATCACCCTAATTCCGTCGGCAATTTGTTTTTAATATTTCAGTAGAGTTGCTTTTTTAAAATAAGGTTTGGAAGTCTAGCTTTCAGCTGCAGGTTTGTGAGCATCCTGAAATTAATAGTTCTTCCACCGATGCGTCAAAAGATGCAACACAACAGTGGACCTCGAAGCCAGGACCTAGGTAGGGGCAGGGCCTAGCTCCAGCTCTGCCACCCATAAATTCACATCCACCCTGTGCCTGGGACTCAACTGCAAGCCACACACACTGGCCCCGCCCATCCGGGGTCTCTTTCACCTGTCACCCGCCATCAACCCCGTCAGCTTTTCTCCAATGACACCCCGGGGTTGTCCTACAGGGCCGCCGAAGCCTGAAGCTCCTGTGAGTGTGGCTGGTAAGAGGCCATTTTGAAAAGGCCTCAGCATGGGCTTCGCCTTTAGATCCACGTCGCTTCTCCTTTCTAACCCGAGATGTGTCCCTTGGGTGCGAAGCGACTCCAGCGATTCTCTCGGAAGCCCCGGTGGCTCACTCCCAAGACCCCCAGGGGAGGCGGTCCCCATCCCTAGGGAAACCCGGCCCGCCCAGCCTTTGTTGTAGAAACTGCACTCGGAGCCATATTTGCTTTCAGCCAAAGGCAGACGTGGTCGCCGGAATCAGAAGGGCAGGGGCGGACCCGAAACCCGCCGTGAGCCCCACTTCTCCATCGCGCTCCTTCCTGGACTCTTGAGGAAGAGAAAGTGCGCTCGACCACCTAAGTTAAGGCCCGCGTCTCCACCTTCCACCTTCTCAATCTGCAGCAAGATGTCACAAGGGCTTCCCCGCAGCTATGATTTTTAACACCATGCCCCGGGCCAGGAGCCTCAGGGTGCTCGTTCGGGAAAATGGGAGCCAAATCAGGATCACCCCATGCGCCCCCGCACCCCGCCCCCGCCGGTTCCAAGGTCCGGGCACACCTAGAGCGGGGGGCTCTGAGGTGGACTTCCCGCGCCTCCTCGCAGCTTCCCTCCAACTCCACTAAACGGGCCCCAGGGGCACAGAGACGACACCACTGTCCCCGAGGCAGTCCGGTACCGGTCCCCGCTCCCGAGCTCCGCCAGAGCGCGCGAGGGCCTCCAGCGGCCGCCCCTCCCCCACCGCAGGCGGGGCCCCGCGCCCACCGGAAGGAGCGGGCGCGGGGCGGGCAGTGCTGATTGGCCGGGGCGGGCCTGACGCCGCCGCCGCTATAAGAGACCGCAAGGTACCCGCTGCGCCAAACGTTCTTCGCCGAGAGTCGTCGGGGTTTCCTGCTTCAACAGTGCTTGGACGGAACCCGGCGCTCGTCCCCCATCCCGGCCGGCCGCCCATAGCCAGCCTTCCGTCTCCTCTTCACCGCGTCCTCGGACTGCCCCAAGGGCCCCGCCGCCGCCGCCTGTCCTTAGCCTCCGCCATGACGACCGCGTCCACCTCGCAGGTGCGCCAGAACTACCACCAGGACTCAGAGGCCGCCATCAACCGCCAGATCAATCTGGAGCTCTACGCTTCCTACGTTTACCTGTCCATGGTGAGCGCGGGCGGCTCGGGGCGGTGGCGGGGGTCGGGCGCGGTTCCCGGGGCGCGCGCTGGGGCGGGCTGGGGGTGTGGCCACCCGCGGGATCCCCCGCCTCCCTGCGCCCTTCTGGAAAATGGAGGCTGCTCGAGGTTTCCGAGGACTTCTCTGGCGCAGAAAGTGGGGGCAGCTGGTTCTTCTTGGCTGTACGCTGGGAAGGCTCCCTCCTAGGCCGGGGCCGCCTCTGCACACCGTTCTTTTTTTTAAGGAGAGTTGGGTGTCCTGAAATCCTGGGTTTGCAAAACTGTCAGCCCGTGCGATCAATCCTGCGGTTAGGAAGGTGGAGTTTTGCACTCCCATCTTTTTCTCTGCCTCCGGCAGTTGGCTCTGAAGCCCAGCGTTTTTTGCTTAGGTATCCAGCTCCAGTCCCCTAGGTATGGCGGGCCTGCTGGGTAACGGTGTCGAACAGCAAACCCTAGGGGCTGGCGCGAAGTGGCTTATCTTGTGGGCAGATCCCTCTGGAGCAGCCCTATCCACTTCTCAGCTCTGCTTATCTCTAAGCCCCACTTGCATTGAAGTATATCTCCAGAAATCGCCCCTTCTGCAGTCACCGAAGTGTCACCTGACCCTGCGTCTAGGGAACTTAATTTTTATCTTTTTTGTATCTTACTGTAAGAGGTGTGGCGTACTAAGTGAACCTCCAGTTCTTGGATAAAGTCCACCGACAGTTACTGGGCAATAAATTTTTCAGTGATCAGTGGAATCAGTTTTCCCAAATCTTGGTCTTAGGCAGTGTCGTGGGAGTCTTCCTAGAATTGCCTTATGATTGTCCAAACTATCCCAAGAATGTGTTCCAAATGGATTTGAAAACAGGCCTGTATTTCTGTGACTGTCATTGCCTTTCAGAAGCACTTGACTACATCAAATGTCTAAAACTGAAAATCAAATTTTTGTGATACAAGTATTTTAAAAGTATATTTGCATCAACATACTGCCCACATTTGTCACCTTGCATGGGCGTTTTAAATTTTTATTTATTTATTTTTTTTGAGACAGAGTCTTGTTCTGTCGCCCAGACTGGAGTGCAGTGGCACGATCTCGGCTCACTGCAGCCTCCGCCTCCCGGGTTCAAGCGATTCTCTTACCTCAGCCTCCTGAGTAACTGGAATTACAGGTGCCCGCCACCACGCCCGGCTAATTTTTTGTATTTTTAGTAGAGACTGGGTTTCACCATGTTGGCCAGGATGGTCTCCTGACCTCGTGATCCAACCGTCTCGGCCTCCCAAAGTACTGGGATTACAGGCGTGAGCCACTGCGCCCAGTAGGGGTTTTTAATTTTATAAATAAATCGCGGTACAGCTGGCAGGCTCCTGAGCTCTTTGTTTTAACCATGCTTTAAGATGGTTAATCCAGGAACAGGGAGGAGAAAAGGACTAAGTGCGGGATCAGTACCCCAGCACCCTCTCATCAGACAATGAAAGTTTTCTGTGCACTAATACAGAGCCTTAAGACATTGCCCCAGGCAATGCCCATAATCTAAAGGTTCCTTGAAGTCCTTGAAGTAAACTTTGAAGGATCAAGTTTCAGTTTTCTATTAGAATAGAAAGATTACTGTTGGGTTCAATCCAGTAGCTCATCTGCCCCCAGTTTCCTTGGGCACTGACCCCTTCATGCTGCGCCTTGAGAAAGGAAGCCTAGGCTGACTATCTAGACCATCTTGCCTCAGTGTAGACCATCACAGCTACCTGTCTTTGGGGATCCCTAATATAACACATTCAGTGTTCTCCTTTCAGTCTTACTACTTTGACCGCGATGATGTGGCTTTGAAGAACTTTGCCAAATACTTTCTTCACCAATCTCATGAGGAAAGGGAACATGCCGAGAAACTGATGAAGCTGCAGAACCAACGAGGTGGCCGAATCTTCCTTCAGGATATTAAGGTAAACAAAAGATCCTAGGGGTGTCATACTTCATCATCTAGCCGTGTTTGGGTATCAGAAATCACTTAAACTAGCAGTTGCCCTTATAAAGTGATGATACACTGGGCTTTTGCCTTTTGTGGTTTTTTTAGGCTTACCATCTAAACTAAATTAGGCAAATAGTAATGTCCCTTTTGCCAAAGCGTGGTGGTTAGAGATGACGGGCTTGCTGATTTGTAGGTTAGTTGGTAGAGATGCATTAACCTATCCTCCTCGTTCAGAAACCAGACTATGACGACTGGGAGAGCGGGCTGAATGCAATGGAGTGTGCTTTACATTTGGAAAAAAATGTGAATCAGTCACTACTGGAACTGCACAAACTGGCCACTGACAAAAATGACCCCCATGTGAGTACTGGAAACCCAGGAAATAGAGGAAATCATTTGCCTTAGGGATTGGGAAAGCTGCCCACTAACTGTCTTGCCCATTGTTTTGTAGTTGTGTGACTTCATTGAGACACATTACCTGAATGAGCAGGTGAAAGCCATCAAAGAATTGGGTGACCACGTGACCAACTTGCGCAAGATGGGAGCACCCGAATCTGGCTTGGCAGAGTATCTCTTTGACAAGCACACCCTGGGAGACAGTGATAATGAAAGCTAAGCCTCAGGCTAATTTCCCTATAGCCATGGGGTGACTTCCCTGGTCACCAAGGCAGTGCATGCATGTTGGGGTTTCCTTTACCTTTTCTATAAGTTGTACCAAAACATCCACTTAAGTTCTTTGATTTGTACCATTCCTTCAAATAAAGACATTTGGTACCCAGGTGTTGTCTTTGAGGTCTTGGGATGAATCAGAAATCTATCCAGTCTATCTTCCAGATTCCTTAAGTGCCGTTGCTCAGTTCTAATCACACTAATCAAAAAGAAACAGAGTATTTGTATTTATTAAACGCCTTAGTTTGGGCAGTATACTGAGGTATGGCTGTCTTGGATTCAGACAGGATTAAGGGTTCCTGACTCTCAATCCAGTGTCTGAGCTAAATGTTTCCGATGGTTCAGTCTAGCTTTCATAATTTTTATGAATGAAAGGCATTAAAGGCTGAAGTAGTCCTGGACTGCTGATTTTATCTATTAAACTAACCATTTGATTCAGGCTGTCATAGGACATGTTCTTCAGTGTGGACAGCTGTATGGCTGTGACTGGATCGGTGTCCTGCTGGTGTACACACCGGAGAGGACCTGGCTGGCGAAGCATCCCCGTTGGGAAGCACGTTAGGAATGTGCTTCATCCCTAGTGAGAATGGGAGAGAATTAACAGTGTGAATATGGAAGGAACCTTCATTTCAAATACTAAAACGTTGCAGTAGGAGGACAAAGGTTGAGAGGATCCTTTTTATTTTTTTATTTTTTTTGAGACAGGGTCTCACTCCGTCGCCCAGGCTGGAGTGCAGTCGCTCAGTCTCACTGCAACCTCCGCCTCCTGGGTTCAAGCAATTCTCCCCTCAACCTCCTGAGTTGGGACCACAAGCACATGCCACAACACCCAGCTGATTTTTGTATTATTTTGGTAGGGTTTCGTGTTGGCTAGGTTGGTCTCAAACTCCTGACCTCACATGATCTGCCTGCCTCCACACCCAGCCCAAGACAAGATTCTGAAATAACATCCTTTGCTAAACAAGCCACAGATGTTTGCCAAGTTCCTGTCTAGCCCTAGAAGCAAGACTGAAACTGTTGCCCTTTTAAGTTTTCAATTACAATAGCTGGGTGTTCTGACTGAAAGTAACTGCTTGAGAATCCAGAAAAGGGAAGTTATATACTTCCTTCCCTCATGATTGGGGCTGAAGTGGGGTGTTTCCAATTGGGTGAAAGTGCCCAGGAAATCTGGAATAAAGGGAAACATCTGATTTTGTGACAGCTTTGGGCTGACCCCAAGGAAGCATGAAGTATTTTGGTGAGGTGCCCCAGGCAGTGAGAAAATGACCTAAGGGCCCCGGACACCCTCAATGTCACCATCACCATAGTGCTTGGGTACTACCCTAAATGGTTATGGGGAAGTGTTCATCTGTCATCCAGCTGACTGCCACCCCATGGTTTTGGGTCAGCTACCCTTGCTCAAAGTAAGTTGGGGCCAGTGATAACATCTGTTCAGCGAAGCCTGGCCTGGCAGCCCTGGGACAGTTCTCTAGCAGCACTCCGGTCAGCACAACCTCAGCTTCCTTCACCTGCTCCCAAGAAGTCTTCCTGGTGATACCAGGCTCTTGGGTGAAGTGAGAAAAGGTCCCGAACACTTCCCTAGGATCCCTGTGGAGGTGGCCAAGTATATACCCCAAGCCAGTGCTGGGCGTAGGTCCAGCGTGCTCTGGCAGTGATGGAACCCTAGGAAATTGTGGAGGAAGGGTAGGTTCAGAGCAAGGGAAGCTGGGGTGGGGCACAGGGCAATACAGTGCCCCTGGTTCGGGTGGAGGACAGACCTGTTTTCCAAGGCCCAATAAGGATCCACGTGATCTTTTAGTGTAGCATGTATGTTGGTTGTTGATAGTTCCAAAGGTTCTTTGAGATGATTTTCGGGGATCTCTGGCATATCCGTCAGGTTAAACTCCACGGTTTTCCTCCTCACGTGAGATACTTCTGGGTGCTCCATCAAGGCCCCATCGCTCCCTGAGAGCAATTCAGAACTGTTCTTGGCCCCAGAACTCACAGTCTTTAGGCTTTTGTCTTTGGTGTCTATGCCTGTGACACTGTGAAGCTTTGACAGCACTGATGGTTCTGGGGGGAAGAACATGGGAGTGGGGCTGAGGGGCGTCTGTGGGGCACTGTAGTAGCCTGGCCTCTGATACAGTGGGGCAGACTTGAAGGCATCTACAGCCTTAAGCTTCCAGGCCTTGTTGTCTTCCAGGCCCCTAACGTTCTGTTTGACTGCCTTGTGGTTTTTGGGCAGGCCCTCGTGGAGAAGGGATTCCCTCTTGGGCCACAGTAGTTTGGTCCTTGAGTTTGCCCCGGGAGGATGGTGATCATGGGACTGCAGCCCTAGGAAGCGGCCAATGATGCCAGTGTGAGCGTCCTCTTTGTCCTCCTGATTGGGCTGAAACTCCATCTCCTCTTTGTTCAGGCTGGAAAGAAGCAGGAGATGCAGGGCTGGGCCAGTGGACAAAGGACTAACACCTGGCCTTCTCCCTTACCCCCTCCTCTCTCTCGGTTGGCCCAAGCCAAGGCCACACCATCTTCCTCACAATACCCCAGCTCTCACCTCTCTCCTGATCCATCCTGTACCTCCCGGTGATCCCTCCAGGCCCTGCTCACCTCACTGTTCGTTGACTCCCTCTTGACCAGAGTTAACACCCAACCCCCTCAACCACCCCTGCCTGGCATGTAAAGCCCTCCTCATCATTCACTTCCCCTTTAAAACCCCCTCACTCCAGGCAGTCAGAAACACTGGTGCCCTGGCATGAGTGGTTCAGATGAGGCCCATGAGTGACTGGGCAATGCCAGGGATTTGTGGTTCCAACTGGGAGCGACATCCACAAAGGGAAATTTGGCTTCCTAGCAACAGGCATCCCAGGAGCCCAAGACCTTTACCCTGCAAGGGAAAGCTTATCTACCACAGAGTATGGCCTGCCCTTTCCCAAGTTCAGATTCTTCCCATGTTCCATGGCCCAGCTCCAGACCCTGCTGGAAGCCGCCTCCAGGCAGACAAAGGTGACTGTGTTCCATGTTCTGTCCCTTTCCTAGATGTCCAGTACTTTGTACCTTGTATCCACAGTTTGAGGCTTGGGTTTGAGCTCCCTCCGTAAATTGCGCATTCCTTGGAGACAAGGTCTATGCTTTATTGTTCTGTTTTCAGCTTTCCCCCCAACAACCTTCAGCTGCTGGGGTACAGACCATGTAGGGCTCAAAGTCATCCTCCAGAAATGTTTATGACCTAAGCAAGCCTCCAGCCTTCATTTGATCACCTTCCCAACTCTTCCTCAAACTATAGACTCTAGTTAAACTCGATTGCAGTCCAGTAGGATACTTGGTTCTTTTTTTTTTTTTTTTTTTTTTTTGAGACGGAGTCTCGCTCTGCTGCCCAGGCTGGAGTGCAATGGCCGGATCTCAGCTCACTGCAAGCTCCGCCTCCCGGGTTCACGCCATTCTCCTGCCTCAGCCTCCCGAGTAGTTGGGACTACAGGCGGCCGCCACCTCGCCCGGCTAGTTTTTGTATTTTTTAGTAGAGACGGGGGTTTCACCGTGTTAGCCAGGATGGTCTCGATCTCCTGACCTTGTGATCCACCCGTCTCGGCCTCCCAAAGTGCTGGGATTACAGGCTTGAGCCACCGCGCCCGGCCGGATACTTGGTTCTTAAAAGAACAAGTGGCCAGGCACGGTGACTCACACTTGTAATCCCAGCACTTTGGGAGGCCGAGGAGGGTGGATCACCTGAGGTCAGGAGTTTGAGACCATCCTGGCCAACATGGTGAAACTGTCTCTACTAAAAATATAAAAATTAGCCAGGCTTGGTGGCAGGCACCCGTAATCCCAGCTACTCAGGAGGCTGAGGCAGGAGAATTGTTTGAACCTGGGAGGCAGAGGTTGCAGTGAGCCAAGACTGTGCCACTGCACTCCAGCCTGGGCAACAAGGGCAAAACTCCGTTTAAAAAAAAAAAACAAAAAATGGAAAGAGAAAAGAACAAGCTGAGAACAGCACTGGATACTGTGGAAGAAAACCTTGAGTATGAACCCTGACATGTGCCCAACACTCTAAGGCACTTTCAACTCTTGTCCTGGGGAGAAAGGACCAGCTGGGATAGCCCTTCAGCCCACTGCAGCTCAAGAGGGATTCAGATGGAATCAGGGAAGTGGGACTATGTGAGGATAAGTCTGGCTGCTGTGGGTGGCCTGAGCCCTTTACTCAGTAGGACAAAGTCAATTCAGGAGGTACCTGTGATGGCCTGGCTGCCTGCTAGGATATGTTTGCTGCCCCTTCCCCATCCCAGGGAACCCCACTTCCACTTCCCATCCAAGCACCGTAGCTTATCAGAAAACACAGTTCTGACACCTATAATTCCAGCACTTTGGGAGGCCAAAGCGGGCAGATTACGGGTCAGGAGTTCGAGACCAGCCTGGCCAACATGGTGAAACCTCGTCTCTACTAAAAGTACAAAAATTATCCGGTTGTGGTGGTGGGCACCTGTAATCCCAGCTACTAGGGAGGCTGAGGCAGGAGAATCACTTGAACCCAGGAGGCGGAGGTTGCAGTGAGCCGAGATCACAACACTGCGCTCCAACCTGGGTGACAGAGCGGGACTCTGTCTCAAAAAGAAAAGAAAACATAGTTCTGGATGACAGGAGCCAGGTCCTAACCTTCCACTGCATCATTGATCACAGGCTGTCCTTCGAGTAGCAGATGCACCATTTGCTAGCTATGTGGCCTTGGGCAACTTACTCTTTCTGAACCTGTACTTTAATCATCTGAACACTTGGGATAACAAACCAAAATTATTGGGAGGAAAAAATAGTTACTATTTATAAAGAGCATAGTACAGTGCCTGACACTTACTGAGGCACCCAGTATGTATTACCTAGTGCTATTCTAAGTTCCTAGGCAGACCCCTGCACTAGGAGGGGCTTCCCACCCAGCCCCCTGGCACTGGCCACACCTGATGTTGAAGGTGGAGCCCATAAAGGAGGCTCGACGGAACTGGGCGGAAGCAGCTGTGTAGGGGGGGTGTGGCTCAGGCTCATTCCAGTACATGTCTGGCTCCATCCGAGGCAGGTCCTGGTGCATCTCATCCACAGCCAGCAGGGACACCTGGTCACCAGGGACAGAAGAAGTCCCACAGAAAGGTCATCCCAGGCAGGACCTTGTACGTGCCTGATGACTTGGAGGAATCTCTCCCTCTCTCTGGACCTCAGTTTCCCTGTCTGTGAAATGGGGAGATGGGTGCCTGCCAGCAGCCTCAAAGATTGAGGTGAGAATCCTGTGAGTGAATGGCTGCAGGAGCGAGGAGGGGAAGGGGTGATCATTCACTGTGAGACCTCCCTACAGAACAGTGGGGTCCTCTCTTTGGGTCCACTGTGGGGAAGGTCCATGGTATGGCCTCTCTCCCTCTCCCCATACCTGCAAATTCCTGTCGACAATCCAGTTGGTCTCAAAATCATCATCGTCCTCTCCAAACGGGTTGATGAGCTGCTCTGCCACCTTGGGGACAGGTGAGGCTCTGTAAACCCTCAGGCAGGACTCCTCAAAGCCAGCCTCCCCACTTAAACCTCAGCTGCTGCCATTTCCACACCACATGATGCCCTTCCTGCCTGACCACTGTCTTCAAAGCCAGAGTTTAGGGCTCCAGCCCCCCACACCTGTGGGCACCCACACACTTCTGGACACAGCCCCTCTAACTCTCCTGAGCCAGTCCTTCCCTGAGCACCCACAGTTGTCCCTGAGTGTATCACTCGGCTGAGTCATCACCTTTATCTCACCTCATGTATCTTACCTGGAGTTGCATAATTTTATTCATTCCTGCAACAAAGATATATACTGAAGCTGGGCTGAACTAAAGGGCCGTCTAGGTGGGCAGATTCCTGGATAGCAATCTCTAAAATGCCCTAACAAAGCCCCGAAGAGGTGGCACGCCTCTGCCTTCGGGGTCCAGGGGACATCTTACAGGCCACTGGGGCACCTTGGAGAATTTCAAGCATAAAAGTGTGATTTGTTTTGATCTGTAGAAACCAAAGATAACTGGGGGGCAGGGGGAATTTAGAGGAATAGGAATGCATGTGTGTGTGTGTGTGTGTGTGTGTGTCACAGCAACAGGAAGGGCAGAGATGGAGACTTACACCCCCACTACCAAAAAATAAAGGAAGGTAGGAAGGGAGAGAGAGTGGGTGGGCAACAGAAGGAAGGAAAGATAAAGAGTTGGAGAGAAAACTGGGATTGAGAACTCCTGTTTGGCGTACTGGCTGTGGTGGGAGGGAATACCTGGACAAGCCACTCGAGGTGAGGAACAAGACACCCCAACAGGCATCTTGAATAAGGAGAGGTGGTACCAATTTGCCTTGTAAAGGGCAGAGGCTAGTGAACCTTAGGGCTTTTGTGTGTGTGTGTGGTGGTGGTGGTGGTGGTGGTGGTTGTTGTTGTTTGAGACGGAGTTTCATTCTTTTGCCCAGGCTGGAGTGCAGTGGTGCGATGTCAGCTCACTGCAACCTCTGACTCCGGGGTTCAAGCGATCCTCCTGCCTCAGCCTCCCAAGTAGCTGAGATTACAGGTGTGCACCACCACGCTTGGCTAATTTTTGTATTTTTAGTAGAGACGGAGTTTCACCATGTTGGTCAGGCTGGTCTCGAACTCCTGACCTCAGGTGATCCACCCGCCTCGGCCTCCTAAAGTGTTGGGATTACAGGCATGAGCCACGGCACCTGGCCTCATGGCTTTGTTTTAAGCAGAGATGAGAAGTGTCCTCACCAGCAGGGCCTGCCACTGCCACTCCGATTCCATGAATTCCCCTATTCTCTGGACAAACGTTTCAAGAATATTCTCAGGCCGGGCGCAGTGGCTCAAGCCTGTAATCCCAGCACTTTGGGAGGCCGAGACGGGCGGATCACGAGGTCAGGAGATCGAGACCATCCTGGCTAACACGGTGAAACCCCGTCTCTACTAAAATACAAAAAAAATTAGCCGGGCGAGGTGGCGGGTGCCTGTACTCCCAGCTACTCGGGAGGCTGAGGCAGGAGAATGGCGTGAACCCGGGAGGCGGGGCTTGCAGTGAGCTGAGATCCGGCCACTGCACTCCAGCCTGGGCAACAGAGCCAGACTCCGTCTCAAAAAAAAAAAAAGAATATTCTCTTGAGGGAGCAGCAAATGGTTAGACTGACTGAGCTCTCCTTGTCCCTCAAGCTGCTAAGTCTGGGCCTTGGGTGCAGCCTTGGAAGCAGACTCAGGCCTCAAGAAGGCCCTGCTGGAGTCTCAGTTTCCTCATATGTAACAACATGGGAATGTGCAGACCAGAGGGCTGTGGTCGGGGCCCTGCTCGCTGCTTTCTACCCATGAGACCTTCCTTTCCTGACAATGCGTCCTCGTCTCAGGCAGCTGCTGGCCATGACCCCTCTGGCCATGCCTCCAGCCGAGAGGGGCCCTGGAGAGGCTCACCTTCAACCAGCCAACATAGAAGAAGAACTGCAGGAATGTGAAGACGGGCACAACGAGGTCCAGCTCATGGCCAGGGTAGGCCTTGGCTGGGTTCAGAAACTGCCGCCCAACTAGACAAGTCAGGAAGAAGCTGTACACCGCCACAGTCACCACCTGGAGGAGGACAAGGAGGAGGAGGGTGCAGCAGCAAAGGACTAGGTGGGAACCCTGAAATCAGGATGCTCCCGGGGCTGGGAGTCTGAGACAGGAGACCGAGGCCTTGTTCTGACTTGCACACTTACGTGACTTAGAGTCTCTGTTAACCGCCCCCCTTTTTTTGTTTGTTTGTTTGAGACAGAGTCTTGCTCTGTCGTCCAGGCTGGAGTGCAGTGGTGCGATCTTCACTCACTGCAACCTCCGCCTCCCGGGTTCAAGCAATTCTCCTGCCTCAGCCTCCCAAGTAGCTGGGATTACAGGCATGCGCCACCATGCCCAGCTAATTTTTGTATTTTTAGTAGACATGGGGTTTTGCCATGTTGGCCAGATTGGTCTTGAACTCCTGACCTCAGGTGATCCACCTGCCTCAGCTTCCCAACATGCTGGGATTACAGGCGTGAGGCACTGCGCCTGGCCAACCTCTCTTTAAAATGGGGATAATCACACCACCCCTACTGGACTGCGTCAGGCAGGAGCCTGGTCTCTAAGAACTCGGCACTTCAAAGTCTAGACCCAACTTCAAAGTGCGGACCCAACTCCTGGGGGAGCCACTTACTCAGCCTCTAGGTGAGCCCTTCCCATCCCAGCTGCTTCCTTGGTCCTTCCAGCCTCAGTTTCCCAAAAGGGCAGCCTTGCCAGCCTAGTCCTCACCTGTGTATACACCAGTGGGATACTAATCCAGTCGTAGGCATACAGGTGTCCACACTGAGTGCGCAAGGTGTTCATCTCCTGGGGGGCAGCAGGGAGGGATGGGGTTCTGAACACCACCTGCCCCCACCCTGGGCTCACCCCCACTCTTCTCCAAGTACCAGGGCCTGGTACTCATGGTCCATTCCTGGCTGTGTGGTCATGGGCAGCTCACTAAACCTCTTTGTGTCTCAGCTTCCTCATCTATCAAAAAAGAACCAGGACCTCACAGACTCAGAGAGGAAGGAGGGGCATCTGAGGAGGGACCACCTCGGGCTGGGGAACGCCGTTGGAAAAGATTCTGCAACCCCACTTCAGGCTCTGGGAAGACTCTCGGGAGCTCGAGCCTTTTCTTTGCAGGAAACCTTGTTTCCTGTGGACCACAACCCTTCCCACTCCGCGGCAGCTCTGTCTGCATAGTGGACTCACGTTCAGCAGGCTCTGGAGCAGGATAGGGTCCCGGATTCGACCTCCAAGCCACGCCTTCATTGACAGGTTGGCAAACCACACCCAGGGCACCCAGAACATGTTGTGTGGTAAGCTCAGCTTCTCCAACTGCTTGTGTTCTGCCGGGGTCATAAAGCCTGCAGAGTGGAGTGAAGAAAGCGGTGGGTGGGAGAACCTGCAGAAGGGATGGCTGGCATCCGGTGGCCAGGCCAGGACCTGCTGACCTATAGGAACCTCAGCACTCCTTTGCCATCTTCTTTCTTTCAACAACAACAATATTTCTGAGCACCTACTATGTGCTATTCTGGGCTGAGCATGTGGGCAGGGTATTTATTTATTTCCAGAGACTGGGTCTGGCTCTGTCACCTAGGTTGGAATGCAGTGATGCGATCCTAGCTCACTGCAGCCTGGAATTCCTGGGCTCAAGTGATCCTCCTACCTCAGCCTCCCGATACTCAGCCTCAGACTACAGGCACAAGCCACTATGCCCTGCTAATTTTTAATGTTTTTGTAGAGATGGGGGTCTCCCTACGTTGCTCAGGGGCGTCTCAAACTCCTGGGCTCAAGCGATCTTCCCACCTTCGCCTCCGAAAGCGCTGGGGTTACAGGCGAGAGCCACCACGCCTAGCCTGGATCTGTCTTATTAACCAGGACCAGTTCAGGCAAGGCTGAGGGGGAGTCAGAGACCAATGTCCCATACCTCCAGAGTGGAAACCGGAGATCAGAAGGGGCAAGGGCAGAGGGAGGTAGACCCTAGTATCTCACCAGTTCCCAAGCCATCACCCTTCTTTCCATTATCTCTCAAGGGTCCTCAGACACCTACTCTCGGAGGGTGGGCTCCTGGCCTCGCCCCACCTTCAGACACCTGACTCTGTCCCGCCCAAGTGGACCCCCAAATCTTTTTTTTTTTTTTTTGAGACGGAGTCTCGCTCTGTCGCCCAGGCTGGAGTGCAGTGGCCGGATCTCAGCTCACTGCAAGCTCCGCCCCCAGGTTCACGCCATTCTCCTGCCTCAGCCTCCCGAGTAGCTGGGACTATAGGCGCCCGCCACCTCGCCCGGCTAGTTTTTTTGTATTTTTTAGTAGAGACGGGGTTTCACCGTGTTAGCCAGGATGGTCTCGATCTCCTGACCTCGTGATCCACCTGTCTCGGCCTCCCAAAGTGCTGGGATTACAGGCGTGAGCCACCGCGCCCGGCCGACTGGACCCCCAAATTTTGACCCCACCCCACTCCTGGCTTCACCCAATCCCCCGAGTCCGGGGGACTTTGGCTCCACCCATCTTCCATTGTTGCGGAGCCCATCATGGCCCCTGGCTCCGCCTCATCCGCCCCGTTGCTCCGGATCAGCCCACCTGCTTGCACCAGGTGCTGGGCGCTGGGGAAGCGCTTGTAGACCGCGGTGCTGACGCTGCGCAAGATGAGCACGTTGCCCAGGTTGGCGTAGCGGATGAGCGTGCGCCGCAGCAGCCGGCCTTGCTCGTCCTTGCCTTCGACGAAGCCCGACACCAAGCTCATGAGGCGGTCGGGCCACGGCAGGTTCTCGTACTGGTTCCACCAGCGGGTCACGACCAGCGTCACGTAGAAGCCTGGGGAGGAGGGGCGAGGGGCGAGGGGCCAGGCTGCGGCCAGAGCCCAGGGCCCAGCGCCAGGTGATGCCTCGGCTCCTCCAGCTTTCTGCTGCGAGCGGGCCTAGCCCCCAACCCTCCTGGAAGGCGCTCAGGAGCGGGAGGCAGGCAGAGCCTCTCATGGAGGCGCGAGAGCTCCAAGGGTTCTGTCTCCCGGGGGGCCCCCTGCTGGTCCCAGAAATCCTCCAGACACCCTCCCCTCCCGCGCAGGGGCTCCAGGGACCATGATGTCAGCGCTTCCCTCAGAAAATGGGGTTTTCATTGCTAGCAGCAGGACGTCTTACCTAACGTCTAACTTCAGTCTCTCTGGCTGCAGTCCGCACCTTTCCCTGAACTACAGAGAGGCGCCGACCTGCCGCTGGCGTCCCCGCTTCCCCCACGACAGCCCCTTGCCTCAGCTCCTCGTGGTCCTCCCCTGGCCTGTCTGGAGCCTGGGCGGCCACTGGGACCCAGAACAGCCAGAAGGGGGAACTCACCCAGCACGAAGGAAATGGGGATGAGCTGGATGTAGCTGTCGCAATACAGAGTCAGCTTCTCAAACATCAGCTGTTGCTCTTCTGTGAGGGCCAGCCTGGGGGTGGGTGTGGGGTGGACATGTGTGGACGCAGCGAGGAGATGGCTGAGACTGTCCCCAGGTCTAGCCCGGCCCTTTTTCAATTTAAAATGCTGTCATATATTCTGTGATTATATCTGTCCTCTATTTTATTGTTTAGATACATGTTTTTGGTTTTATCTTGCTCTCTTACCCAGGCTCGAGTGCAGTGGCACAATCATGACTTACTGCAGGAATGGGACTGCCTCGATGCTGTCCCACATTTTCCCCAGCCCAGGTCCCCTCCTGAGGCCTGAGCCAGGTCCATGATGCTCCTTGTGCAGCCCCTAACCCAGACAGGCTAGAGGAGGCCCCCTCCAGTGGTTTCTTGTGGGGAGAATCCTCACACTGGCCACTGGGAGATGTGTAGTTCAGGTCCTGTTGCAGAGGCCAGTTTCAGACACCCTGACCCTTTGAACGCAGCCAGGGGTCAGTTTTTAAAAGCAGGCCAAAACAGAGTGTTTGGGCCGGGCACGGTGGTTCACGCCTGTAATCCCAGAGCTCTGGGAGGCTGAGGCAGGACCAGGAATTCAAGACCAGCCTGGGCAACATAGCAAGACCCCATCTCTACAAAAAATTAGCTGGGTGTCCCAGCACTTTGGGAGGCCAAGGCGGGCAGATCATGAGGTCACGAGATCAAGACCATTCTGGCTAACACGGTGAAATCCCGTCTCTACTAAAAATACAATTAGCCCGGGGTGGTGGTGGGTGCCTGTAGTCCCAGCCAATCGGGAGGCTGAGGCAGGAGAATGGTGTGAACCCGGGAGGCGGAGCTTGCAGTGAGCCGAGATGGCAGCACTGCACTCCAGCCTGGGCGACAGAGCGAGACTCCGTCTCAAAAAAAAAAAAAAAAAAAAAAAAAATTAGCTGGGTGTGATGGCCATATGCCTGCAGTCCTAGCCACTAGAGGCTGAGGTAGGAGGATCACTTCAGCCCAGGAGTTGGAAGCTGCAATGGGCTGTGATTGCCATTGCACTTCAGCCTGGGTGACAGAGCGAGACCCTGTCTCTAAAAAGAAACAGAGTGTTTGGCTTTAACGAGAGGGGTGAGTAGGCAGACAGAGGATTTTGTTAGAGCAGTGAAACTGCTCTGCCTGATGCTGCCATGGCGGAGACATCATTACACATTTATCCAACCCATGGAATGTACAGCCCCAAGACTGAACCCTGCTGTACGCTATGAACTTTGGGTGATGGTGATGTGTCAATGTGTGTTCAGGGATTGTAATAAATCTGCCACTGTAGTGTGGGGGTGTTGATAGTGGGGAGGCTGGGGGCAGGGGGAGGAGCAAAGAAACACATGAGAACTCTACCTTCTGCTCAATTTTGCTGTGAACCTAAAACCGCTCTAAAAAATGAAGTCTAGGCCGGGCGCGGTGGCTCAAGCCTGTAATCCCAGCACTTTGGGAGGCCGAGACGGGCGGATCACGAGGTCAGGAGATCGAGACCATCCTGGCTAACACGGTGAAACCCCGTCTTACTAAAAATACAAAACTAGCCGGGCGAGGTGCGGCGCTGTAGTCCAGCTACTCGGGAGGTGAGCAGGAGAATGAACGGAGCGGAGCTGCAGTGAGCTGAATCCACTGCAGCCTGGTGAAACGAACCGTCTAAAAAAAAAAAAAAAAAAAAAAAAGCTAGCGGGCGGTGCAGGATAGATTGGAGGCTGAGACGGGGATCAGAGGAGAGACATCTGGTAACACGGTGAAACCCGTTTACTAAAAATACAAAAAACTAGCCGGGCGAGGTGGCGGGCGCCTGTAGTCCCAGCTACTCGGGAGGCTGAGGCAGGAGAATGGCGTAAACCCGGGAGGCGGAGCTTGCAGTGAGCTGCGATCCGGCCACTGCACTCCAGCCTGGGCCACAGAGCGAGACTCTGTCTCAAAAAAAAAAAAAAAAAAAATGAAGTCTGACTTTTTTCAGCATGCATTGGTGCCCAAGTAAAAACCAAAGACCAATGTGCTTTCTTATTGGTATTATAAGGAACTCAAGAATTTTATGTATTTGATGTTTTATAATCCATTGTAGTCATTAGTGCTTTTTCAGTTTAAAATGCTGTCATATATTCTGATTATATCTGTCCTCTATTTTATTGTTTAGGTAAATGTTTTTGGTTTATTGGTTTTTGTTTGTTTGTTTGTTTTGAGATAGGATCTTGCTCTGTTACCCAGGCTCGAGTACAGTAGCACAATCATGACCTACTGCAGCCTCAACCTCCTGGGCTCAAACAATCCTCCTGCTTCAGCCTCCTGAGAAGCTGGGTGGGACTACAGGCGTAAGTCACCACGACCAGATCATTTTTTGATTTTTTTTTTTAGATGGAGTCTTACTCTGTCACCTAGGCTGGAGTACGATGGCATGGTCTCGGCTCACTGCAACCTCTGCCTCCCGGGCTCTAGCAATTCTCCTGCCTCATTCTCCCGAGTAGCTGGGACTACAGGCACGTGCCACCACACTCGGCTAATTTCTGTATTTTTAGTAGAGACAGGGTTTCACTATGTTGGCCAGGCTGGTCTTGAACTCCTGACCTCATGATCCGCCCGCCTCAGCCTCCCAAGTAGCTGGCACCACAGGCAAATGCCACCACTCCCAGCTACTTTTTAAAATTTTTGGTAGAGATGGGGTCTCACTATATTGCCCATTCTGAACTCCCAGGCTCAAGTGATTCCCCCCACTTTGGCCTCTCACAGTGCTGGGATTACAGACATGAGTCACTGCTACTGGCCTTAGATATACATTTTAATTAAAAAATAATTTTTAAAAAATGAACCATGTGGACTGGGCACAGTGGCTGACACCTGTAATCCCAGCACTTTGGGAGGCCGAGATGGGTGGATCACTTGAGGTCAGGGGTTCAAGACCAGCCTGGCCAACATGATGAAACCCCGTCTCCACTAAAAATACAGAAAAAAAAAAATTAGCCAGGCGTGGTGATGTGTGCTTATAATTCCAGCTACTCAAGAGGCTAAGGCGGAAGAATCGCTTGAACCTGGGAGGTAGAGGTTGCAGTGAGCCAAGATCGCCCCCACTGCACTCCAGCCTGGAGTGCAGGCTGTAAAAATACAAAACAGCCAGAAATCACTTGAACCCAGGAGGCAGAAGTTGCAGTGAGCCGAGATCGTGCCCCTGTACTCCAGCCTGGGCAACAGAGCGAGACTCCATCTCAAAAAAAAAAAAAAAATCTCTTCCATGCAGGCCCCACCCCTTGGACCTCCCTTCAACCCCAAGAGAGACCACTGCCCTAGCAGGTAAGACTCTACCTCTCAGAAACTGACCTCTACTGTAGAGCTGAAAGTGAGACCCTGTCTCAAAAAAAAAAAAAAGAAAAAAAAGTACCATGTGGTTGACCAGGCGCAGTAGCTCACACCTGTAATCCCAGCACCTTGGGAGGCTAAGGCAGGGGGATTGCTTGAGCTTAGGAGTTCGAGACCAGCCTGGACAACACAGTGAGACTCTCTCTCTCTCTCTCTCTTTCTATCTCTTTCTCTCTCTCTCTCAGTGTACCATGTGGACCTATGAGTCTGTGTGGGATTCAATAAAACAGGCCAGTTGAGTGGCACCAGACAAATTCTGGGCTCCAGGGCTCCTCCTGGGGTTGGAGGAAGGGTGGCTAAAACCCTGCTGGCCTGGGTTGAGCAGCCTCTCAGTCTGACTTCTTTTCTCTCCCCAGCCCCCAGCCCCAGCCTCAGCTCCAGTGCCCAGGACCTGGTCAGGAGCTCAGCTTAGTCTTGTAGTGAACTGGTGCATTGGCCCCTGAGCAGGCTGGGAGGCCCCCAGGAGCTCCCAGCCCCCGCCACATCCCTCCCAGGCCCCCCACCCCAGCCCTGCCAGCTTTACCTATAAATAAAGCGGATGATGTAGTAGCAGAGCAGGAAGATGAAGAACTCGCCATACAGCAGCTTGTAGATGCTGCCCCGCCAGCACAGCAGCAGGCGGGAGAAGGAGCCTAAGCGGGCATTAGCCACTTGGCTCGTGTAGGTGATGGTCATGGCCAGGCACTTGGCTGCAGCAGGTGGGCTTGGGTCCTAGTAGAGAGGGACACGGATTTGGGGGTTGGTAGGGATCAGAGACCCTGGTCAGAGCCTGTCAGGACCCTTCCCTGCTCTGGGCCTCAACTCTCCCATAGGGACCCTGGGAGGTGGATGAAGTGGTCTCCAAGGCCCTGCCAGCTCTGACTGCCTGTTGAAGGTGGAAACCCAAGAAAGTGAGCCCAGAGGCTGCCCATTGCTTTGGCAGGGGAAGATGTAGATAGGCATGTGCATTGCCATGTGCCTTTAACTTTCTGTAATCACTGGGCACGGTGGCTCATGTGTATAATCCCAGCATTTTGGGAAGCTGCGGCGGGTGGATCACCTGAGGTCAGGAGTTCGAGACCAGCCTGGGTAACATGGTGAAACCCCGTCTCTACTAAAAATACAAAAAATTATCTAGGCGTGGTGTGGGTGCCTGTAATCCCAGCTACTCAGGAGGCTGAGGCAGGAGAATCGCTTGAACCAGCAGGTGGAGGTTGCAGTGAGCTGAGATCGCGCCATTGCACTCCAGCCTGGGCAACAAGAGCAAAAACTCTGTCTAAAAATAAATAAATAAATAAATAAATAAATAATTTGTACAATGACAAAGGCAGTAACAGCAGCAATGTCTACACACTAAGCTTAAGTCCCTGGGCTAGGCAGTGTTCTCAGCCCATCTTGTTCATTACTCCCAAGCTCGTTCAACCACTCTAGTGTGAGAAGTATGGAAGGCACCAGGCAGCCCTGTCCACCACCATATTCCCATTCCCACAACGGAACCTAGCTGGTAGAGATGCTCAAACAATGTTTACTGAATGGTGGCTCCAGGGCCTTTCCACCTGCTGATCTTCCTGCCTGGAGGAAGGTCTTCCTGAGGTACCCGCATGGCTCCTTCCCACTCCAGGTTCCCTTTAGAAAGAATGTTCCCAACCATCCTACCTGGAAATAGAGCCCACTGCCGCCGGTGCTCTCTGTCTCCTCACCTTGCTTGACATTTCTAGAGAGCACTTATCACTACTTGAAATTATACAGGATATCTGCCTGTTTACTGCCTGTTTCCTCCTCACAATGGAATCTCCTCTTGTGTTCTCATAGAAGGCGCTCGATGAAAATTTACTGAAGCAGTGATTGATGTCCCCTCCATTCTTTCCCTATGTGTTTTGCTGCAGCCACACTGGCTGGCTGTGCCTGATGCACACCAAGCTCATTCCCACCTCAGGGCCTTTGCACAGACACACAGGTGCCCACACACCCACGCATGTGCTGCCTGTGTGTGCACATCCCACACACATATGCAAGATGGCCATCCAACCCTGAAGGCCTCAAAGCCCCAGCCCAGTCCACCTGGGGCACCTTGTACTCACAGGTGGGGTTCCAGGTGGATCCGGTGATCCCACAGAAGGTCTGGCCACTAGGCTGGTGGGACTCCCTGGGACTCTCTGGCCAGTGCCCCTGCCCACTTTTAGAGGCTGGCACTGCCCACGTGAGTGCTGAGCCGTCACTTGACTCCCTAAGCCAGGGCCTCCACAAAGGAGTCCTTGTCTCGGTCCCTCCTTGTAATCTGCTCAGAAGCAACGGCCAGCACAGCCTGGCCATGGCCCCTCTAATTTCTTCTTTTTTTTTTTTTTCTTTTTGAGACGGAGTCTCGCTCTGTCACCCAGGCTGGAGTGCAGTGGCCGGATCTCAGCTCACTGCAAGCTCCGCCTCTCGGGTTCACGCCATTCTCCGGCCTCAGCCTCCCGAGTAGCTGGGACTACAGGCGCCCGCCACCTCGCCCGGCTAGTTTTTTTTGTATTTCTTAATAGAGACGGGGTTTCACCGTGTTAGCCTGGATGGTCTCGATCTCCTGACCTCGTGATCCGCCCGTCTCGGCCTCCCAAAGTGCTGGGATTACAGGCTTGAGCCACCGCGCCCGGCCTCTAATTTCTTCTTGGAGGCCGTTGGACTGAGACCAGGGCTGGAATTTAGGGCAACACCCCCTCTACCATGGCCCTAAAATCCAGAGGCCGAAGCATCTGCTCCACCAGTGTTCTGACCCCTGAGGCCTTGCAGAGAGAGTTGGGGGTTAGGGGACTGTGCTGAGCCTCAACTCCTGTGCCAGGAACTCTCCAGGAAGGAGGTGCCTCTGACCAGGCCCTGGGGTCTTTGACAGCCCTCTGGGCTGTGGAAAGAATGAATACCCGGCTGCAGTCACCAGTCCTGGTTTCTAGTCCCAGCCTTGCCACCTGTGTGTGGTGACTCTGGGTGGGTTTCAGTTCCTCTCTCGGCCTCAGTGCCCTTATCTGAAAAGGATGGTGTTGCTTGGGAATTTCATCACCCTAGTAAAATGACAGAATTCTGCATATACTGGTGAGGAGCGCTGATTGGCTGCTGGTGACATCATACGTTATTCTGGCTGTGATTGGCTGGCAGGGCCCATTAGTAGGTTGCTTCAGAGAGATGGAAGGAGAAGCCTGGGGCTGGTGTAGGGGGGTGAGAACTTGCCGGGGCTGGTGGGGGTTGATAGAACAGCCCTGAAATTTATGCTGCTGGCTTCCAGCCAGTGCAATATGGGAATAAGTGCCCAGATCCCCACGGGCAGCTGGTGAAAATCTCAGCATGTGATTCAATAAATTTTAATACATCAATCCATACTCAAAGGCTCTCCTAAGCTGTTGGAAGTGATAGGTGTCTACCTACACGCTCCTCTTGTATTGTTCAATGAAGAGAGCAGAGCTCCAGGCAGCAGTGGTTCTTGGTCTTTAGAGGCCATAAGAATCGCCCAAATGTTTATTAAACGTGCAGTTTTCTGGATCTTTCTCCGGAGTCTGAGTCTGTGGCCTTAGGGATGTTGCATTTTAATCAAGCACTGCAGGGGATTATAATGTGTGTGGTCTTGGGACTACACTTCCAGAAGCCCTGATTTATAATATGACCTTGTGCCTTATCCTTCCTTTCCTGTCACCCTGTCTCTGAAATAGTACTAAGAGTTAACTATGCTGAAATTGCAGGTGATTTTTCTACACACCACTTTTTTTTTTTCACTTTAAGTTCTAGGATACATGTGCAGAATGTGCAGGTTTGTTCCATGGGTATACATGGTGTGCAGGTTTGTTCCATGGGTATATATGGTGTGCAGGTTTGTTCCATGGGTATACATGGTGTGCAGGTTTGTTCCATGGGTATACATGGTGTGCAGGTTTGTTACATAGGTATACATGTGCCATGGTGGTTTGCTGCACCTGTCAACCCGTCATCTAGGTTTTAAGCCCCATGTGCATTAGGTATTTGTCCTAATGCTGTCCCTGCCCTTGTCCCCCACCCCTACACACCACTTTTGCCTTTATATAATTATCTGCCTAGGAAAAAAACCACTATTTCACAATGACCTTGAATACTTTTCTAATCATGGCAAACAATAAAGCTGTTGTTATTATAAGAATCTCTGTAGAGGCAGCCTTGTAGGAGTATTTACTGCCTCCCCGCTGCCCCATCGCTGTCCTCAACTGAAACGGGGAAAGAAACGGGTTCACTTCAGCCTCAGTTTCCTCGTGTGCAAAATGGGACAATGATGCCTACCTTGGCAGCTGAGTGAGAATGATGGATGCGACATGTGTTTGTCAACTCTCCGAACTGCTGGTGCCTGTGCCTGACCCCTATGAATTCTGATTTGATTGGTCTGGATGGACCCAAGGCATTGGGATTGTTCAGGTTCTCCAGGTGATTCTAATTTTACAGCCTGTGCTGAGTCATTGCTTAAGGGGTTATTTCCCTATCCTGTATTCCCTTCCCCACCAACACATCCTGAAACTCAAGAGAGAGATTTCCATTTAGAAGATGATTAATTATATATTTTAATATATATATTCAAATATATATTAATATTTTTTTATATATTATATATTTTTATATTAACATATACAGATAAGTATTAATATATGTCTATAATATTACAAATATATTTATTTATATGCATACATCTATTTATACATATAAATATATATTAATAAATATATAAAAATATATGTATCTTTTTTTGAGACAAGGTCACCCAGGCTGGAGTGCAATGGTGTGATTTTGGCTCATTGCAACCTCCACTTCCCAGGCTCAAGCAGTCCTCCCATCTCAGCCTTCCAAGTCACTGGGGCTATAGGCACATGCCACCACACCCAGCTAATTTTTTTTTTTTTATAGAGATAGGGTCTCACTACATTACCCGGGCTGGTCTTGAACTCTAGGTTCAAGCAGTACTCCCACCTAGGCCTCCCAAAGTGCTGGGACTACACTCGGCCAATTAGTATGTTTTAACTAAAGTTAACACACATGCCTGGCACCATGCCTGGAACATTGATGCTCATTCTGTACTCTCTGAAGGGGTAAAGGAAAATCCTGCCTTTGTGGAGACAAGTTCTTGTCTTCCCTGTGATAGCCACTAGAGGGCGTGCTTGACTAGCTGGCTCTGGCTGGGACAGCCTGGTTCACCGGTCAGGATCAGTGTAGACCACCGAGCTGGCACTCCTTCATCTCCCTGACCCCGACAAGCAGCCATAAAGCCATAAGAGGGAGTTGGAGACACTGGAGTCCTTCCTCCCTGTTCCCTGAACCGCAGGTTCCTTGGCAATATCCCAGAAGTACCACCAGGACCATCGACAGTGCATGCCCAGTTTCCCTTCCCCTCCCAGAGGCCCCAGCATGTCCCCAACGACATTCCATGAGCAGCTGCTCCTGGCCCTGCCCCAGAGCTGAGACAGGCACACCCTGGCACAAGTCATGGTCTCTCCTACTGGGTCTCAGCTATGAAAATGTCCCCAGCTAGCCAGGCGTGGCTCAGGCACACAGCAAAGTCGTGAATGCTGATTGACCCAAGCCGTGCCTGGAACAAGAGTCCCAGGATTGACCTCCGCAGAGATGGCACCCAACCCAGTCAAGGTCGCCCTCTTCTGCTTTCCGTTCCGCAAAGAAAATATTCACCAAACCATTTCTCCTTCCAGAACTGAGCCTAATCTGATTCCTACCTGTACGTATTCATAGTCAAAAATTATGGAAACACTTAAATAACTCGAATGGCAAGGCCTAAGATCTGTGCCAAGTGCACAGAGGGCAGGAAAATTTTTACAGACAAGGGGGCATTTGGGTTGGGTCTTGAAGCAAGAGTAGGAGTTTGCGGAGCTGAGAAGAATGGAAGAGCATTACACATCAGGGGAACAACCCACAGAAAGTCACATAGGTATTACTGAAGGATGGTTCAGTATGGCATGTTTATCCACATTTTACAGAGGAGGACGCTAAAGCTCAAGGCCTGCCTTGTCCAAGGTCACACAGCTATAAATGGCTTGAGACTAGGAACTAGGTCTCTTGATTTTGGATCCTGAGCCCTTTCCCACTATCAGCTCCACAGTAGAGGTCAGTTTCTGAGAGGTAGAGTCTTACCTACTGGGGTAGTGGTCTCTCTTGGGGTTGAAGGGAGGTCCAAAGGATGGGGCCTGCATGGAAGAGACTTTTTTTTTTTTTTTTGAGACAGTGTCTTGCTCTGTTGCCCAGGCTGGAGTGCAGTGGCACAATCTTGGCTCACTGCAACTTCTGCTTCCTGGGTTCAAGTGATTTCTGGCTAATTTTTGTATTTTTAGTAGAGACCATGTTGGCCAGGTTGGTCTTGAACTCCTGACCTCAAGTGGTCCACCCGCCTCGGCCTCCCAAAGTCCTAGGATTGCAGGCATGAGCCACTGCGCCTGGCCGAATGGAAGAGACTTTGACTGCAGCAGATTCCAAGCTCTCGAGCTCCCCAGCGGAGAGCCATCTCTTGGGGCAGCAGAGCAGAGCTGGGGAGATGGGTGGAGGTGCTAGACACAGAATGCTATGGCCTTCTCACCTAGGATTACCATGGCAACAGGAGCATCACAGAGAGCCTGCCACGGTGCCCTTCTAGGCCCTGCCTCAGCTGGGCAGGAAGAAGGGGACCCAGCTTGGCTGGGGGCAGTGGGCAGGGGGCCCTGGAGTGAGTCAGCCAGGCCTGGATGCTGCCTCCAGGCTCTATGTGGGACACCTGCCAGCCCACACCCCTCTCTTGGGCCAGTCACAGAACAAACAGGGCAGAGGCCAAGAAAGAAAAGGAGGGGGCTTGGCATAGCTGGACAGGGGTGTTGGGGGACACTGCCAGTCCAGGGCCTGGAAGCCAGACAGACAACAGCACCTCCACCCTGAGCTCAGGAAGCCCTGATCCCTGAAGGGTGAAGTAGACTCAACATTCAAAGAGATGGACACATAAGCCCTGGGCACCACGGAAAGACGACAGAAACCAGGGAAGGCCGGAGAGGCTGGGATACACCTAGGTCCAACTTCATCAAACCCAGTCCTGCCCATGACAACGGAATAGCATGGAATAGACCAGAGCCGGACCAACTAGAGACACGAGGCTGTGAGTTCCCCCATGGACTCTGCCACGCTGAAGCTGGCCAGGTGAGGCACTGACCCTATCCACCTTCCACCTACCCCCACCCCTCCAGCTCAGAACTGGGGCTCATGGCAGGTGAGTAGCGGAAAGGACATCGTGGGTCAGGCTTCTCCTAGACAACTCTACAGGACCTGGATGCCGTCAAAGGTTCACACCCAGGGAGTAGCCTCAGTGTCCTCAGCTCAGATGGGCATGTTGAGTTTGACGTGCTGTGA